ACAGTGATATTATAATTATCAATGTAACTGCTCATCCTGTTCACTATGGACAGTGATATTGTAATTATCAATGTAACTGGTCATCCTGTTCACTATGGACAGTGGTATTGTAATTATCAATGTAGCTGGTCATCCTGTTCACTATGGACAGTGATATTATAATTATCAATGTAACTGGTCATCCTGTTCACTATGGACAGTGATATTGTAATTATCAATGTAACTGGTCATCCTGTTCAATATGGACAGTGATATTGTAATTAGCTTGACAGTTATCAATGTAACTGGTCATCCTGTTCACTATGGACAGTGATATTGTAATTAGCTTGATATTTTTCAATGTGACTGGTCATCCTGTTCACTATGGATGGTGGTGTTGTAATTAACTTAACAATTATCAATGTAACTGGTCATCCTGTTCACTGTGAACAGTGGTATTGCAGTAACCTCTTGATTTATTGATGAATTTGATCTCAGTTCCATTATTCAGTTATTTGACCTCATTGTAATACTATTAATTTATAGGATCTTTTCATTCTTGACATTACTGTTTGTATTATTGGACAGTTATTTACTTATTGTTGGGCTATCAACACGTTAAACTATTCTTAGGTTGTGTTTTTGTGAAGGTTTCTAAGTGTGTTTGAACATTGTCATTGACTGCATTTTTAGATTAATGAAACCAAAATGAAAAATCTTATTATTCAGTCTTTACCAAGAGATTAGAAATGTTATATTTAACAGAATTCCTATTTGGGTATTACTTGATTTCCAGTGTATGTATGTGAGAAAGATTATTATAGTCATGTTGTGAAAACAACCATATGTGTGTGGTTAATGAACAGTTAGTATTCCATTGTTAATGGTTGTAAAGCATGTCTGTCAAATATAACTATGGACAATGTCAGTGTTAAGACATTAAAATGTAATCTCCTATGGAAAATGTTTTCCAAATTGTTTAGTGGGAAGCATTATTTCTGAATTTTTATGAACGATTTCAACTTGTAAATTGACATATCTTTAGTATTATATATAAGACAGTTTATGTTTGTCAGCGTTTATACTGAAGGATTTCAACTTGTAAATTGACGAATTTTTACTATTATATATAAGACAGTTTAAAATGTCTTATATATAATACTAAAAATATGTCAATTAAAAATTGAAATCCTTCATTATAAACGTTAACAAACATAAACTTATCTTATATATAATACTAAAAATATGTCAATTTACAAGTTGAAATTGTTTTTTATAAACATTAACAAACATAAACTCTGTCTTATATATAATACTAAAAATATGTCAATTTACAAATTGAAATCCTTTATTATAAACGTTAACAAACATAAATGTTAACAAACATAAACTCTGTCTTATATATAATACTAAAAATATGTCAATTTACAAATTGAAATCCCTCATTATAAACATTAACAAACATAGTAAAAATATGTCAATTTACAAGTTGAAATCCTTTATTATAATTATATATAAGACAGAGTTTATGTTTGTTAACGTTTATAATAAAGAATTTCAACTTGTAAATTGACATATTTTTAGTATTATATATAAGACAGAGTTTATGTTTGTTAACGTTTATAATAAAGAATTTCAACTTGTAAATTGACATATTTTTACTATTATATATAAGACAGAGTTTATGTTTGTTAACGTTTATAATGAAGGATTT